TTATCCTTCCACGAAGGGATATGACCGCGGTTATTTAAATTATAATTCTTGGTAAATAAAATGAATGTTTTTTTTAATAAGCATATATTCTTCAATTAAAAAATCGTACAAAATTTAAGGTGATTATATTTCGCAATAGCCCACTTAAGTGTTAGGTACCTACAGTATGGTTCAAATGAAAGGAATACATTCATTATAATGGAAGTAGTTGGTTTTTCGAAAAAATGCTCGGACAGGTCAATTTTGTTTACTCAAAGCGCAATTTTTTAAACAGAATTCAATTTTCCCCCACTTCCCGTTTTTGGGCAGTGACGTCATTGACAATTTTTTTAAATAGTAACCCCAATTTGTTTTTCTTGATTTTGAAAGATCTTGCAATTTCCTACTCGGAAACATAATATTTGAAATATCTGAAATAAAAATATTTTTGAATAAAAGTCATTTAAAGAATACATACATAAATTTTATTTTATTTTGAAACATAATAAATGAATAAAAGATTTTTGTAATTAAGTGCTTCATCTAAAAAAATAATAATAATATAATAATAATAATAATAATAATAATAATAATAATAATAATAATAATAATAATAATAATAATAATAATAATGAAAAGAATTTAATGACAATTTCACAAATTCTTTTTATTATTATTAATATTATTATTATTATTATTATTATTATTAAAATTATTATTATTATTATTATTTTGTTAGATTAAGCACTTAATTACAAATAATTATCTTTTATTCATTTACTGTGTTAAAATTTATGTGTATGATCTTTAAATGACTTTTATTCAAAAAAAATTGTCATGTAAGATATTTAAAATATTATGTTTCCGAGTAGGAAATTGCAAGATCTATCAAAAATAAGAAAACAAAATTGGAGTTACTATTTGAAAAAATTGTCAATGACGTCACTGCCCAAAAATGAGAAGTGGGGGAAAATTGAATTATATTTAAAAAATTGGGCTTTGAGTAAACAAAATTGACCTGTCCGAGCATTTTTTCGAAAAACCAACTACTTCCATTATAATGAATTTATTCCTTTCATTTGAACCATACTGTATATATTTTTATCAGTAGAAAAGAAACTAAACAAAATTTTGTATACGTATAATGCTGGCCTTTTGAAAATCATACAATTAACTGTTACGAATCCTTGAAAACTTTCTGTTTTGAAGAAAAATCCATCGAACGTCACTGTGCCTATTATCCTTATCGAAACGTTTTTAATATGGTCAAATTGCTTTAAAATGTGGTCCTTTATAGAAATTAATAGTCGTCAGAAAGACTGCCCTTTTGACTTCTCGAGATGTATTGTCCGAAATATTTGACATCGATTGTTCGAAAATTTCATTTTTCAAATATATTAAGTGGGGTATTAAGAATGACATATTAGTTTTGATGATGTTAGAATTGCGAGACACATGTTCTATTGGACACGTTCAGGTAAATGGATAATAGGGACATATGATTTTTATTATTTGGAAGAAGATATTTATTGTGAAAAATGGTAGATATTTTTAGCGGTTTTTGTTTATTTATACTGGGTGTCTCATATTAAAATGTACATACTTACGTTAACTGTAGGTGTGGGCCATTTGGATGATCTTAAATCATCCATTATTAATGGATCTATCATAATATATCCAATTGCTTAGATACAGGGGAAGGATATATACATTAGCCTTGTTGCAATCATTTTGACAATTTCATATACATAGAATGGGTTATTTTATATTACTTTATTATAATAAGAAATATAATATAAGATGGATGGATCTTTAGGAGCTGGTTCGGCCGACTATATAATAAGACAGTTTGGTCTTTATTCGTTCTTTGACATTATGACTTGACACATGACGTACATGTTAACAACATCTGTAACATCCCTTTTCTTTTAATAAAGACATTTATAAATGGAGGGTATTTGATGTCATGTCAATACGTTTTGTATACGCATGTACAATACGACAGAAATAGGTAAAGCCAGCAAGCTCATATACACCATATATGCGTTAACTATGTCAATCAAATGTTGTCATATAATGTTTTGTTATTCTTGTCTATCTGTAAAGTGTGGAGGTTGGGTTAACTCACGACACTTAGACTTCAATAGACTATTGCTCGTGTACCAGCCTACATATTTACTGTAGTTGACAACGTCGCCAAGAGGTGCTTCTCTTATATCGGCCGGTGTTAGCCAATTCTCGTTGAACACAAATCATCTTCTAATAAATGATAGCGTTGGGCAATCGTAGAGGATGTGCTACTTGTTCGCACCTCCTGCAGAATGCAGATTTTGACAGCACCATGATATGGAGATGCTTCCGTACTTGGAAATGACCAGTCAAAATAATAGGAGGGTCAGGTTCAATAAGTATTTGGTTGGCTGCAGTCTGAGCTAGTAAATCAACAAGAAATTAAGCTTTCGATATGGCGTAACCTTCATCTTCATATTCATTTTCTATCTATCAAAATATCTAAAGAAATCTATGTAGATGCCTTTAAAAACTATAATAATATTCAATAAACAAATTTTATTTTGAAGTGCAATAATCCAAATAAGTAAGATAAGTCAAATGCCTTCTTTAAATGTACGCACGCACGATTAAGATAGATAAAAAAGGAGGTACCTATAAAAGAAGTATTTGAATTTTGTAAATTCATAATTGTGAAAACAATTTGAAACCAACATGAAGTACGTTCTTGCTCTATTGGCACTAGGTAATATTTTTTATACACATATTTTTAAATTATTTATATTAATCTGGAATTAAAAATAATAATATTAATGATATTTTTATTATTTATTATACATTTTATTTTTCGTGTAAAGGGTATCCCGCAAATATACCAACAAACTTTAAGGGGTGATAGGGAACATAAAAATAAATATTTATTGTTTAATAAACATATTTCCAAAATACAGCAAATTTTACACAAAAATAATAACGCCAAGTAAATATTTGCAAATACAAATTTTTTGTCCCTTAACATTTTTCGGCATCTCTCTTCATTTTCAAAAAAAAAAAAATAATAATATCCAAACTTTTGCACGTCTCTGAAGTAAGTAAAAATACAACTCAAAACGAAAACGAAGCGAGATACGAAAAATTAGAGGACAAAAAGTTGTATTTTAGTTTTTTTTTTTTCGAAAACTTAATTTCAAAAATATACAGGGTGTTATTCCTTTTTAGCAAAAAAGTAATAGTAGCAATAATTCTGGATAAAAGCGAATAGATTTAAAAGATACCTCATCAGATTTCAACAAACTGTAAAAATTTAATTGATATTGGTTAAAAAGTGTTCAGGATATTGATTAATACTCGGTATCTCAGAAATGAATAGCTTTCGAACATACGTTTATTTATTTTGATTTCCTGTGCCACCCCTAAAAGTTTTCCGTATATTTATCAGCTACCCTGTATATTTTTCTTTAAATATATCATGGTGAATATATTTACCCCTATTGAAATGGTAACCCTGATATAATAAGTCTAAGCACTCTGTTTCACAATAACTATTATATCATTAGTTACATAATATACACTCAGTACAGGATTTTTTAAAGGATCTAGAATAATTTTGTGTCAAAATTTAAAGTGTAGATATAACATGTTTGGATGTGTCTACTTGGCCAGTAACACGTTTAATATTTTTTATAAAAAATGTAAAATATTTTCAGGAGTCAAAGATGGTCTTAACAAGACGGAAAATACTAATTACTTCGTTTTTCGTGTTTTACTATTTTCCCTTTTAGGTCTGGCCTTTTATATTAAATCTTTACATTTCTGACATAATATAAAGAAATTTATGACACTTAGGTCTTCTAAAATGTATTATAAATTTGTAGATATTAAACAAATAAGAGTAACATTATTTCTCCATTACCTTTAGATAATTCTCATTAAAATATCAAAAAGAAATTTACATATTTACTTTAAAAAAACAGAAAGCTTATGTTAAGCAGAATAAATATATTATTTAAATTAAATCGTGAAATAGATAATCCAATGTCCTGTCAAAATGACAGAAATAAGAAACTTAGATAACCTGACTTTTTATTAGTGGATAAGTTATATTGGAACTATTGATCGTTGATTTGATGATTCTAAAGGATTCTATGTTAATTTAATAATTTGTAGAATATTTAAGACTAAAAAGGTGTGTAATAGTACTTTTAATATTCAAATATTCTTAATAATATTAATTTTTGTAATTTTTCAAGTAAACACTCCGAAAATAATTTATAAAACTAAAAAAATTAATACATATGACTGATTAATAACTTCACTAAAAAAGTTGTTGTGACAAAACACTCACTTTTGTTGTTTTTTTAATCATTTGCCATTTAATTTAACGTGATTTGGATTGCCTGTTGGAAAATAAATAAAAATCACGAAATGATAACTCAAATTTGACACATTTAACGGTTGTATAGTATAGACACTAATAGCGTTTTCGATTCCACTGCCCTGCCTGCGAAGAGTGCACATAAAAGATGAGCGATATAACAGTACCGGTTATGTTTTAAAGTAAAAAGTAACTGGTATCTCCCACCTTTCGTATGCTCTTAGCCGAGCACTGGAATCGAAAATTCTATAACAGTAATTACGGAAATGATTTCGCTTCTTCGGAAGAACAGTGACACAAATGCAAAATTTGTCTTTTAAGGCCTATAAATCTTCAATTGTTTCAAAAACTATAGGTCGAGGTCTTCAGTGTGATTATTCCCAAACTGTTCCTTAACGTCTCCATTGCAAGTTTCATATTACATTTATTATTTATTTTATAATTTGCGATTTCTGCGATCCATTTATTTTTACTTGTGTCACTGTTCTTCCGAAGAAACGCTTGTGCAGATTTAGGAAATTTTTATTTACGCCAACATAGCTGTGGATTGGTGATAAGATTGTTAAAAATAATTTACCTATCTTGAAATCAATTGTTTTTTGTTTCTGTTGTAATTTTATTCAAACGTTTTTTTTAGTTGCCGCTGTTTTGTCTGAAGATATCCACTTCGAAACTGTCGTCGGTGGTAGATCAGGAAATGGTAAAACCACCCGTTACTGGGATTGTTGCAAACCATCATGCGCATGGAAAGAAAACATCAGAACCAGAGACATGAAACCAGTCAACACTTGCGCCAAAAATGGAAGGAATACTGTGAGTAACATCTCTCTGATATACTTATAAATTAATACTTCCTATGAAATTCATAGAATGGAAAAATAGTTGTTTCAGTAGAATTGATAATTTTGACAATCGACTAACAAAAAAAAAACGTAAAGGCAAGTGTAGAGATAAGGGATAAAGATAGGAAACGCCCATAAGAAGCCAATGCTTAACAACGACCAGCTTTATCGCAGTTAACATCTGACCGACTATGTGGCGCTTTCATCGATATCAAACAACGCAGCAGGAAATGTAAAACTCTGATAACAAAGGTTGCATAAATATCGACTGCACTCGCATGTTCTTGTAAATAAACTTAAACAATGTAAATACGCTAAATTATTTATTAACAGTACTATCCACTTACCACATACTTTGATTACTATATGGGGCAAGAGAGACGTCCGACACGCCCAACATAGGGCGCGGCCATTTTGATTCCTATGACTATGACACAGTTTACAGCTAAAGAATCAGATCGCTCACTCTGCGTCGGCACTTTTGATCTCATTGTTCCAGTTTATACACTGTGCAACTCGGATAATACAATATATGACAACCGCCTATAATAAAATAACAGTCTTCTACGTATCCTGAATTTGTATCCCTGGAGTGGATGTTATTTTGGAACTTTCAACTGGTCCGAGTGAGCTAACTGATTCTTTAGCAATAAACTGTGACTCCAAAAATAATATTCACTGACACTGACAGCAGCAAGCAAAATATCAGGTGTGTTTTAATCATCCGCTTCTGCTTCCGGAATTGTCGGTTCAGTCGTTCTAACCTGTCAGATTAAAACAAGAAAATCGACAATTCCGAAGCAGAAGCGGATGATTAAAACGCACCTATTAAAAATATTGCGCCAAGATGTAGGCAACACGTAATAAGGGTTCAAAATGGCGGAGTTTTCTATCTCCTTTTAAAAGGCACTCAGAAAGCTGCGCAGTGCGACCATTCTCCGTATAGTAAAAGAAAATCAAAGTATATGCCACTTACACAGACATAAATTTACTAATGTTACTTGTTACTTGAAAGCCTTGTCAATTTCTAACACAAAATTATTGCTCAAATTATTTAGAAAGCAATTTCCCAGGTAGCACCTGACGTCCATAAGTCGTCCGTAAGACGTCAGCGCATTCGTCTAAGGGACGCCTATTGAACGTCCAAAATGACGTCTAAAAGACGCAGTAATGTCACATCCAAAAGACGTCATATAAATGACGTCTTTCGGACGTCATATAAATGACATCTTTCGGACGTCTATTTTTTAAAGAATTTGACCTCATCCAGACCAATATGTCGGCAGGCAACTGACGTCCAAAAGACGTCATTTAGACGTAAACGCTTGGACGTTCATAAAAGCCTTTAGGGTGCGCATTTGATTTGATTAGCATAAGTACAATGTATTTATACTTTATCTATTTCTAATTGAACTAGTACAAAAAACTGTAGCCGACATTCCCTTTGAACTTTTGCCCCGAGGCACCAACATGCCGGTGGCTCTGAGCAAAGGTTTAAAGCGAATGTCAGCCACAGTTTTTTGTAGTGGTTCAATTAGAAATAGATAAAAGTATAAATATCAATACAGATAAGAAATAATACACGAGTTTCTGAAAAAAAAAATGTATGTTGGTGAAAAAGCATCTTCCAAATAAAAGAGTAGAAATATATTATAATTTTTTATTTTAAATACATTATAAAAAAACTCATTAATACAAAAACTATATGTCCTAAAACTATGAATGTTGGAACTGTTGATCTAAAGTACCTACTAGCTAGATGTCTTATAATGAAACATAATTGATTTTGGTTTGTGGAAATACAAAAAATATTTGAAAAATCTGTTGAAATGATAAAATCTTTCAAATTCAAATTATAAAATATGTATAATTATTGCTATAATTCACCTGACAACTTCTTTATTTTGATCTGTGGAGGTCTGGAATATCTACTCTCCTCATCACTATCGGTTAAAATAACCCTCCTGATGATTCTGTTTGTGGGTCTATTACTTGCATTTTCGTCTGTGTCATTGATGTCACTAAAGTTTTGAGCCTCCTTCTCTTTACGGAAAGCCTTTTCTATATCATCTAGATAAAATATATTTTGTTAGGAAGTTTTCATATAATCATAATATGTAAAACAGTATCTTGTAGTTTAGGTAAGTATCCTAAATATTCTAGGTTATGAAGAGAATGTCAATGTGATGCATACAGCGTTGCCAACAAGCTGTAGTGGATGTATTTTGCAAGAAATCGAAAAGAAACAAATTAATGAATATAAAAGATTTTTATCTAGTAAAAAATAAAATTCAATATCTCTTTTTGGTAATCTTGTAGTTTACGGTCCTTTTAATGCGCATGTCCGTACCATTCTGTACTGACGTCTAGAATTTGAATTTAACATGTACCATCCTTGCCAAACTTCCACTTTTATTTTAACGAGGTATTATAAAATAGCGGTTTGTTAATTGTCATCCTGTGTATTTTCTTGTACGTATCATTGTGTGTTATATTCGTATTTATAATTATTAATTTTTATTTTATTTTTCTAAGTATTGTTGTTTATTATTTTTTGTCGCAGTATTGTTGTGTTGTTTATTTACGTGTGGTGGAAACTTAAAATAAAATATTTAAAAGTGTGACCGTATTACATTAAAATCGGCCCGACATTTTTGATTTTTCTTTTTAAGGGGTTTATAATTGATGTAAAAATTGGTAAATAAATGATTAAAAGTAAAAGTTATATCAATTTTTTCCCTGATTTGAAATATTAATATAAACCTGGCAACCATGTAGTGATACCAGTTGTCAGAGCGAGTCAGAGCAGGAATGGTACGGACATGCGCATTAAAAGGACCGTAAACTACAAGATTACCCTTTTTTTTTATTCTAATAAACAACTTTTTCTAGGATTTTATAGTCAAAAATAAGTTCCAAATATCATTTTTTATCAGTTGTTCTGGATAACCAAGAAAAACTGACAACATATACCATGAAATGGAAATCACAGTCATTCTGAGTGCGTCAAAAGTTACGCAGAAAGCCGTAAATTTGGTTACCTTTACCTTAAACTGAAAGATTGCCTCCAAAAGTTTTATTTGAGGAATACACTTACCGGTTTGAAAAAATATCTTTTTTACCCCGTAAACTTTCCAAATCTCCGAATCCACTTCCTGATGCTCGGCCAAAGCGCGCCGAAAAATTCTTGTATCTTTCAGTGGGGGCCAGTAAACTTGTCTCTTCAAAGGAGTCAACCAGTTTTCATCTACAACTGCTACACTGTTATCCCCCGTTTCATCAAACTGAATGACATAATACATGGTAACAATGTAAACTAACACACACTCACTTAAAAATATAATCCTCATAGATAATCCTTAAAGCAGCAAAGCAGCTCAAGTCACAATCACAAAATCGGCGTCACCTTTACATGAACGTTCTTGCTGTCGTTTTTGCAAATTGGCGGTAATGTAATGGCGGTTGGCGGTTAACCGGGTTAGCCGTTCGTCGTTACTCGTTCGTATTCGTTGCCCCTGTACTCATCAAGACAGCGTTGCCGACGAGACATCTCATAAAATTTTGTTACAAATCCAAATAAGGAAACGGGTAACAATTTAATTACATTTATTATTGTAATCCTTTAATAAGTGCCAATATCTTTTAAATTCAAATCAAATAATTGCAGTAACATTTTAGTATTCAGAAAATAATTATTTAAATGACGATGTTAGCAATAATACTGAGAATATGAAAATTTTATAATGTGACAACAATGCGTAAATGTCAAATTAATCAATATCAGTATTACGTATAACTCTACTCTTTGGTATTACCATATTACCAACAAACCTTAAACCATTAAAGGCTCTAGGGATTGTTTTTCTCCATTTCATAGTTTCAACAAATAAAAAAAATTAAACTTGATGTTTTTAAAGATTTAAATTATTTGTCCACAAAAAGACGTCAGAAAGACGTCTCTACACTTGACGGCCAACTGACGTCACTTAGAATGACGTCCCAAAGACGTCACTTTTTGGTCCCATGACGTATGTGACCAAAAATGACCAATAATTGACGTTCTATTGACGTCATTTACGTCTTGGTGGCTACCTGGGTTATAATACTAGAAATACTATACACAATCAATCTTAATGGTTATATTGTATTAATAAAATTATATTTGTTTTAATTTTCAGCTCTCCCCTTCAGTCCAATCGGGTTGCAACGGTGGTAGCGCCTACATGTGCAACAACAACCAGCCATGGGCTGTTAACAACACCCTTGGTTATGGTTTCGCAGCTGCTTCATTCGCCGGTGGTGTAGACACCAACATGTGTTGCGCTTGCTTCAAAGTAGACTTCACCGACCAAATTGCTGGAAAAAGCATGGTCATTCAAGTAAGTTTCTCTTATTTTTAAATTACCTAACACAGTTTCCTATAAAATATCAACTTCTTAAAGTAAATGTATGCAAAACGTTGCTTTATTTATTTATTTATTTATTTTTCTCTAGGTAACCAACACCGGTAGCGACTTGAGCTCCAATCACTTTGATATTGCACTTCCCGGAGGTGGTGTAGGTATCTTCAACGCAGGTTGCCACAATCAATGGAATGCCCCATGGAACGGCTGGGGTGACCAATATGGAGGAGTCAAAAGTAGAAACGAATGTTATACTCTTCCCAAGGATCTCCAATCTGGATGTCTCTTCAGATTCGACTTCTTGAAAAACGCCAATAACCCAGGAATGAGGTTCAACCAAGTTAAATGCCCCAGGGAAATCATCGCCAAATCTGGATGCAGTCTTGATCCTTAAATTAGCGCTTTGCTAAATTAACTAATGTTTTAATAAGTTTATGTTTATTATTTTAATAAATGTTTTATATTTGTTAATATATAAGTTTTTTTAAACTTCTTTAGTTATAAATACGACTTACAAAAGCACGAGAAAACGCTATGAAATATTAAAGGGTAAAGTGGGTAACAAGTTTATAAGCAAAACAAGTTTTTAAACACTCTTGTATATTTAGACTGTTTTCTCAAGAACTATACAAAACTTTGATTATTTGATAAATCTGGATATATGTAGATAAATATGGATAAATCTAGATAAATCTGAAAAATCTGGATAAATCTGGACAAATCTGGATAATTCTAGATAATTCTGAATTAATCTGGTATTTTTTTGTATTACTTTAGTGAAACTGATAATAGCTGTTAATGAAACCAGTTTCGAAATGCCTTACTTTATGTAACGAGTTACATAAAACGTGTTACATACAATATTTTTTGTAATTTTAACTAGATTATTTATAAATAAGTATTTTGACAAAAAAATAGTGACATCTAGGCAACCAATATTACTTATGCTTCTGACAAAACGGTTGCATTTTAACATTGAACGAATTAAATTTAACCAATAAATAATAATGACGAATATGTGTTGTTAATGGAATTAAACTTTTTTTAATGGTATTAAAAGTAATATTTCGGTACTTAAAATAAAAAGTTTTTCTTTTTCTAAAGATAATGTCCACTATTCTTATATAACGGTAAAATTATTAAATATGATGATACAAAATTTCGTTTCAATTAAAACACATACGATAAGGTTATGAATAAATAAAGTCTGACTTATCTGTCAAAATAAAATGTTTATTACAGTAAAAACCATGGAAACATGATTAAATCTAAACAAAAACTTTTATTAGGTAGATCAGATGTATTAAAATTTTCATTTTAACTACAAATAAGTATTGTAGGATGAGGTATAAATAAAATGTTTACCTTTTCTGTTTGAGTTTAGGAAAATAAATATGAATTCCATTTATTGTTAGTAGTAAAATATTATGAAATAATAATAATAAAAAAAATATGTATTGTTTATTAAAACATTTAAAATATACCTCTACCAGAGTTGGGTAGTATCCGGATAAAGTAACCGGAAACTTAATGTGTATCCGAAAGCTGTATCCGGATACTTTTCAAATTTTATATCCGGTATCCGTATCCGTGACCAAATTTGTAAGTATCCGGATACCGGATACTTTTTTCGGCATTCGGATGGATACTTTTAAATTATTTACCAAAATCGTAACTGATCCAATCCAAATTATGTCTATTAAAATATATAATCGTAATACTTTGAGCTACCCTGTATAATTCATAAAATTTGAAAAAGATTAAAGCCTGCGTAATCTTTTTCATTAAAATTCCCTCTGATAATTTCATACTGGATATGCGTTTCACGTAATCAATTTAAAAACTATGAAACAAATACTAAATTTAATGTGTTTGTTATACAGGGTGTTATTGAAATACACGTACATATTAAAATGGGTAATAGTATGTAATGACCAAAAACGATTGGCACCAATTTTAACTTCAAATTCTAAAAATTAAATATTGGGGAAGAGTCCCCTTTTCCGACCTACTAGTTTCCATATTTAAAGAAGTAAAATAAATCGAAATTGAACTTACCCATAGAAATTGCACTGTTGCCGTAGCAAAACCAATTAATTCAAAATAAAGTTTATTACAGTAATTGTTCAAAATGCCGTCCATTATTATTTACACACACTTGCAATCGTCTTTTCAAAGAACTTTGAACATTACAAATTAGTCTTGGATTTTGTCGTAGTTCCCCGGCTACCGCATTAACTTTATTGGTTAATTGTTCAACACTATTAATAGGTTCATTATAAACCAGTTGTTTAATGTGACCCCACAAAAAGAAATCGCATGGATTTAAGTCCGGAGATCTCGGAGGCCACTTAGTAGGTCCATTTCTGCCTATCCACTTTTGAGGAAATCTAATGTTCAAAAACTGCCGTACGTTTAAATCATCTAGTAGGTACCACATCCGTTGCCTTAATTGTAACGGTATCTCTTCTAGGAGTACTGGCAAAATATCTTCTAAAAAGTGGAGATATCCTGGCCCACTTAATCTGTTCGGGAGAACATAAGGCCCGATTAAATACTGATCTATTATGCCAGCCTAAACATTTATTGAAAATTTTCTTTGATGCCCAGTTTCCCTAATGGCGTGAGGATTTTCATCACTCCAAATATGCGTATTGTGCATATTGAACACGCCATCACGAGTGAATGAAGCCTCGTCAGTATACAATAATATTTTTAGAAAATCAGGAATATCAACACATTTTTGAATCATCCATTCACAAAACTCCACTCTCTTTTCTTCATCACCTGGATATAAGGCCTGGACTTTTTGGATGTGATAAGGATGTAAACCTTGTTCTTTAAGTGTCCGCCACACAACAAATGAGGACACTCCAATTTCAAGACCTAGTCTTCTACAACTTAATTGAGGCCGGTTTTCAACAGCTTCCAATATTTCTTCTTCGGCCGCCAATGTTCTTTGTGTTCTTGTTCTCCCTCGATCTGCATTGACACTCTCAAATTTTCCATGGTCTCTTAGATGCTGAACAGTTGAAATAAACGTACGACAGTCCGGAATTCTCCGATTTGGAAACCGTTCGCGATACAGGATTTGTGCTTGCCGAGAATTTTCTCCAGCTGCCCCATAAACCAGAACTATATCCGTTAGTTCAATATTCGTAAATAGTGGCATCGTAAAAAAATATTTAAAAGTAATCGTAACAACACCTTTTACCAACTTGGAAATGACGCGCTCGTGTTAGCCAGATTCGTAAATCAACTAAAATTTTAATAATCTATAGTTTCAAAAATGTATAGTTTAAAAACAATCATTTATCAAATATTCTAGTTTTTTGATAACGAGGGTAGTAAAAACCAGTCTTCGGAAATAGAAATTAATTCGAAAATCTTGGCAACATGGTTATTTCTTACAAGAATTACATCTAAATCCACATTGTAGTAGCCCAGTACGTTTGGTTAGTAATACCTCTCTAGGGAAGTTTGACGTCAGTATAACGTTAATTCGACGTTGATTTAACTAAGTTTAGGTAGAAACTACCAAAATATTTGCAGATGACGTATGCCTCCAAGTGTACGAAAAGAAATTTATTATTTGGTATTTTTATCTATATATAAGTAGAAATATTGTAAGAAGTCACCAACACAACTAAAACATATACCTGATTCACATGAAAGATTGAAAATAAATAAATGTCGGTGACAAAAATATATGTAATGTAATTGCGGTGAATATACAGTTCACGCTTGTTGAAATTAATGCGAAGAAAATTTTGTCGTGCATGTTAACAGTTCTACTTAGAATAATAACAATGCCCTTCCAAAATACTCTCTAATTAAAAAAAATATAAGAAAAAAATATGATCGTGTAAAAAAATAATAATAATATTATGAGCTAAAACTATGTTACGTTTGTTGTGTATCACTTTAGAAACTCAATAATGTTTCGTTTTTCGGTATTTTCATTCGTATGTTTTAGTTACGGTCATTTTAAAAATTTTAAATTTGGAATCGTACTTCAATTACGTTAAGAAAATATGGCGTATTGTGCGAATTTGACCTAAAAGTTATTATGACTAAGGAAATCTACGTATTTTACAAATACCTTTTTACTAAGTTGAATTAACTTCAATTTCACGACATATTAGTTAACTTTACCTATTTACAGAACTAATAACTTATAGGTTTTATAAAAAATTTACCTATAGGTAAATATAACATATTTAGATCACGTTGTTCTGCACTTAACTTTTTACACGTTTCACTTTACGATAAAAATCGGAATTATAACGATATGATTTATTATTTTTCGAAATCATTTTATTAATTATTTTTCGCACTCATTTAAAGCTCTATCTACACCACACGTAAATTAAGATTACGACTGTAATGGTTTTTTTAAAATGGCCGAAATTCTTAAGAATAATGACGAATACAGTAACTGAACAACCTAATTGTTAAAATAACCTAAATATAAATTTTACAAATAGGTCATGTATGATTTTTTTTAAATTGGTGGTTTTTAGTCGAATTTACTTTGTGGTAGATTTTTCAGGTAATTGCTACAACAAAGTTAATAAATATTTCTTCAAGATGACTTATAGGTCAACTAAATGAGTATTCGACTATTTGGTTGAAATTAGGTAGATAAACAGGTAGAATTTTGCTACGATCTCGACCTAATATGACTTTAAAGGAGAGTAAATAAAAGCGGCCAAATAGGTTACTATGGAGGCATAAAATTACGTAGAATTTTTAACCAAATCTACCTAGTTGGATATTCTATTATAAAGACGATTTTTAGTTGTCAAACAGGTAGATATTACCTAAATATGGCACCTAATTTTACTACAAAGGAAATTTAACTTTGAAGTAATTGTTGGTTATTTTTTTTTAGTAGTTTTTCCCTTGATGATATGGTTAAAGTTACTTTTAAGCAGATTTGTGTAAAAGGTAGATTTCTTGGTATAATTTACGTAAATTTAAATATAAATTAAAACCGTTTGGTAAATTTACATTAGAGGTATATTTTTCTAGTCAATTTTACGTAATAATTACCTCAATAAGTAAATTCGTTTTTAACAAAGTCGAGTTATAACTAATGTTATAGAAAATGTTTGTTGGGTTGTAATCGTGACCCTCCGAGATTATTTCAGATTTTCACGTTTCCGGGTCTCTAGATTACGAAAAACATGTTTCCCTATTCCGTCGGCCTATCTGTCGTCATCATCTGATCATTTATATACAGGGTGTAAGGGTGAGCAGTTTAAAAAATCATTTATTTTTAAAAATCGGCAAATTTCGACTAAAATTAGTACCTGAGTATTTTAGAAGTCGAAGATAACAGATCTTAATTAATTTTTAAAAAATTCAAAAGGCTTCCCTGTTTTTGCAATTTATACAGGCTGTTCCTTAATGATGTGCTAATATTGCAGGGTGTGATTCCTCGGATCATTTTATGATGAAAAGTTCATATTAACAAATATCCACAGTCGCAGTGGTTTAAATTTTTGGCTACAGGGTGGTACAAATTTGTTATTTTTTAATACCTTTAGATATAATTGTCAATTTTGGTATGTGTTAATAGGATATAAAACCACATATTTTAGTTAAAATAGTTATTTTATTGATCCACCAGTGGCGTCCCTGCAAACATGTCCTCAAATATTTTCTGCAAAAAAAAGTAGTACGCCACTGACATTTTTCGATGTTGATATTTCTTCTCATTTGCCTGGTTCATGAAATAGCATGTATCAAAAAAATTACGCAGTTGAGGACATTATTATTAATGAAAATATTAATTTAACTTACTTTAAAAGTATCTGAAAAAGAATCCGGATACTTGTATCCGAGTACTTTTTAGGTGAAAGTATCAGGATACATTGTAAGTATCCGTATCCGGTACTCACCTCGTATAATGTATTTTTTATTGTCATATGGGTGTACCTATAAAAACTCCCAGGAAGGATATTTTGGTAAGTAATAGAGATATTTTAATTCTGTAAAAGCCCGTTCATAGAGCGCTAAGAGAACTTCAGGTTTAGATATAAATTAATTTTAAATAGGTCAATATGTAGATGGCGCTGCGCTCATTTTTTTTTTTCGATAGGAGGATCTTTCTTATATAGCGCATCTTGTAAAAAAAATGCATTTTGAGGCAGATTTTGTTCTATAAACTAATTCGATAAATCTAGCGATTTTTGATATATAAAGTGGGTCATTCAAAATAGTTTCATCCTGTTTTTCGGCATTAATTATTAGATTTTTAGAACATGCTAAAACAGGTAGATTTTTATTCCAAATTGAACACATTTTTACAATATAGACACCTGTCATGTGTCAACCCCCTCCCTTCCACTTCTTCAACCCCTTAATTTGAAATAAGGAATGTACCATGTACGGCGCATCAATGAAAAGATAATTTTATGGGAAAGTCAGAAATATGACTGTTTATTGCGATACTTTTAATTTTAGCGCCCTTTATCGGGATAAAAAAAACTAACGTATTATAAAATGTGACACTTCATTTGAAAGCTAATTTAATTACTAATTCGATGCATCACAAAACATTAATATAAATATTTCCATATTACACTTGCAGCAAAATAAAGTTAGCAATAATGTTTAAAATAATGCATGACTAATTTTCAAACTACAGCAAGTGCAATGTGAAGGATATTTATATTAATGTTATGTGGTGCATTGAGTAATTAAATTTGCTTTTAAACAAGGTGTCACACTTCATAATACGTAGTTTTTATCCCGATAGAGGACGGTACAATTAAAAGTCGTATTTCTAAATTTCCTATAAAATTATCTCTTTAATAATGTAATACACATTGTAGTGTCACACTCTATAATACGTAGTAGTTTTTTATCCCGCTAGAGGGCGATAAAATTTAAGCAATGCAATGTACAGAAATATTTTTAAATCCCCCATTAAATTACCGTCTTAATGATGTGCCATACATGGTACATTACCTATTTAAAATTAAGGTGTTGGAGTAGTGCAAGGGAGGGGGTTGACACATGACAGATGTCTATATTGTAAAAATGTTTTTAATTTGAAATTAAAATCGACTTGTTTTAGCATTTTCTTAAAATCTAACGATTAATGCTGAAAAACAGGATGAAACTGTTTTGAGTGACCCACTCTGTAAATCACAAATGGCTAGATTTATCGAATTAGTTCATAGAACAAAATCTGCTTAAAAATGCATTTTTTACAAGATGCGGTACACAAGAAAGATATTCACATTGAAAAAAAAAAATATATTGAGCGCAGCGCCATCTACATATTGACCTAATTAAAATCAATTTATATCTAAAACTAAAGCTCTCTTAGTGCTTTGTGAACTGTCTTTTAAAGAATTAAAATATCTCTATTACTTACCAAAATAGCCGGCCTGGGAATTTTTATTGGTACACCCTGTATACTAGTTGATTATACTACTTTATTCATCATAATTTAATTAAAAAAACTTTTAAATTTAAATTAACTTTAGTCAAAAATTAATATTATTGAAATATCAGCATTAGTTTTTTTTTGAAAATATTTTATACTTTTTATAAATTTAAATTAAAGCCATTTAGTTTATTATACAAACGTACACTAAAATTTCATGTTCTATCGGAATCTGAAATAAAAATAAGAAAGTTGACATCTTCCGGTATAAGCGGAATTGACAGAACTGTCAAAACATTTTAGATATGAAGATCATTACCTGTTTAGTATATTTACCAATTTTTAACGCGTATATATACGATTTTATTAACTTATTTTTTTGAGAAAAGTACTCTGTGAGATAACTATAAAAATTTCAAACTGAAATATTTTAGAGCTATTTACTTAAACTTCTAATCAACATAAATTATTCATTGTTTATTAATAGCAAAAATTAAAAAAAATTCTAAATAAAAAAAAATAAAAAGTGCTATTTAAAATGTAATTTTTAAAACGAAACAAAAAAATAAAACCACAAATAAAAATTAATTTTTTAAATTTAATAACATAATTTTAAACTTATCGGTATCACAGCCATATATAAAACAGTCTTACAATAAAAAAACAATATTAATATATAAAAAAAAATCACCAAGGTCTCCAAACTTTTTCCTTACTTTCTACTAAATGTCCATTAACACTTTTTTCACCCAAATTTTTAGGTAAAAAATACACGATATGTCCACTATGCAATCTTGTTGGAAAAAGGGTCACTCCTATTTTGACGTTTTCCGAAGAACTGTCAGCTGGTCTGATGAGCACAGGTTCTTTCCGAACGAAACTAGGTTGGATCTTCCTGTCGCTCCTGATGATTATAGTGTTGTTTTTTACAAAATTTTCTTCGTCAGCTAACGATTTTTTGTTGGAATGATTATCGTTTTCTTTATCATCGCTATCGATTCGATTTTCCCTGAATTTTCCGTGTAATTGTTGCAAATATGTCACTGTCAATTCTAATATATCAGCTTTTTCCAGTTTTGAATATCTCTGGCCCTTTTTTCCTTCTTTTAGATACGTTTTGGACTCCAATAAAATTTGTTTTAAAGTTTCCAGACTATCGTTGATGCGAGCTCGGCGTTTTTTCTCGATTAACGGTTTTCTGATTTTCCGACTTTCTGAGACTTTCGGGCTTTTCATTTTCACTTTTTTTGTCACTGTTTGAAGTTGCACTTGCGAAGATTTTGACAAGAATGAATTTCGTTGTAAAGGGACACGCGTTTTAAGACTTTCGCTTTGATCCCCACTATGCCTTTGAGGGCCATTGTACCTGTTGAATGGGATGGATGATGAAAAGAGGAATTCAAAAGACTAACAGGCAGCGGCGGGTCTCGTAGAAATAATTTGTTAATTTCGATTTTTAAAAATTGTATATTAAATAATGCTAAGAAATATCATGTTATTATATTTTTCTACAATAGGTCTGTCAATGAAGACACCCTATTTTGAAAATTTCAGACTGATTATAAAAGTTTTCAAATACTGGTTTAAATAACATTAAATTTAAAGTTACAACCATTTCCAAGATATGGAACTTGTTAAATTTGTTTATGATTTTGAGAACAAAATTGCAAATATTCTGCAAACTTGAAATACTATCTAATAAAAAATATATTCATAAGTGATATGGAATTTAATCACGCAAAATATTTAAATATTTCTTGTTTTCATTTTTTTTATTAAATAATTCGTCGATACTGTTATTTGAACTAGTACCTATAGGAGAAAAAAATCAACATCATAAACAGAGTCGAGAATAAGAAATTAACGCAATGCCGTCGTGAAATAGACCATTTATATAAAAAGTTATATGTCCCTCTATGAAGGTTTAGCTTGCAAATGGAAAACTACAACGAAATTTAAAGAAAAAAAGTATTTCCCGACAAAAAAAAACATTCTGATAAAATATCTATTACCATATTGTATGTTATTCGCTCCATGCGTGACAGCAGCGCCAATTCATTTATGGATTATTTTTGCATATACTGACAATTCAATTTTTAATATAATTCTTAATTAAAAAGTATATATGTTAGTTTTAATAAAAGTATATGGATTTGTAAAACAAGTGAAACATTAATTTATTATTTATACATATTTTTATAGCTTAAACTAAAAAAAAACTAAATATAATCAATAAAAATCAATAATAAAATATAGACAGGCAACAGTATTTACGGGAAAATGTATGAGAAGTTGTCTTTAAAGAATTAACCAATTCTGTCAAAATAAAAAATACCATTAAATAATAGCCTGAAGTTAAAATGTAAAAAGAGAAGGAAAGTTATTTATATTTTCATTTTTGTTCTAAAGAAAACATAGAATGAATGATTAAAAATGGGTTCCTATCAGTAAGTCACAAAATTGCATTCCAGCCACATACAATAATCAGAGGCAGAAATCTAGCTCTTGCTGAACATTTTAAACTGAAGAGATGTTACAGAACATCGTAAAATAATAACTTATTGTTTATTTTAAATCTTTCAAGTTTCTGATTTCTACTATTTTCAGTATTACTGTTATTATTACAAAAATAAAGATAATTTCTTTCCATGTTATCCATCACAAATAGTTCCAAAAATACAATGTAGTTACAGTACTTCGGGCGTATCGTTTAAAAAAAATACTCTAATCTTACCTATCTGTTCTGAGGCTCACCAGGGATATACAAATGAGTGATGAATGTAGGAAAAGAAAGAAGAACAGGAAATTAGAGACATATCAGGCGAAAATTGCAAAATTTTACAAGAAGATTGCAAGAATTGATTCGGAAAATGATGACTTAGGTATGTTTTTTAATATACCACATCATATATTTTACCAGAATAGAGGATGTGATTAAAGCACATCTTGCAAAAACAATAAAAACAATGTTTGAAGTATAAGAGGTAAAAGATTTGGGGAATTTCAGGTAAAGCCTTCTACAGGTGACAATTTTTACAAAATATTTTATAATGAATTATGTTTGACCGAATGCAGAACTTCATATTGTAGAATATGTAAGGTATGGGCTCATCGCTATAAAAGTGACTGTATAGAGTGTGCTATAAAAACTACAGTGTGTAAACACGTATGTGAAATACGTACATTTCATATGTTATGTTTTAGGTGACGTTGACGTTGCCAAACTACTATATGAGGAAAAGCTACCAGATATTTAAAGGGGGACATAATGAAGAAATTAAAAACAATATTAGAGAGAAGAAATCTGAAAATAATTGTTCAACTACAATAGCTAGAGAAGCAAAGCGAGAGGTACAAATTAAAACTACATGTTTTAAGATACCTGAATAATGAAGCATATAATAAAGTAATGGAACCATTTTTCTATGTATGCAGCTAGAAATTATATGTTGGTACTTTTTTATAAGGTGTACAGGCAAATATAGTTAGTAATGGAACAAGTAATAGATCAGCGATACAGAAAAGGAAAGCGGAAAAGCATGAAATTTTTTCTTAAAAAAAGGAATTGTAAAAGGGCTTGCTTTTGTATTAGATAAAATCTTATTGTAAATATGTATTTATAGTATGATTTAGGTTTTAATTAGACGTATTTATTCTAGGTTTATCTAAATGAAATATATATGCCTATTTATGTATAGCGTGTCTTTTATTTTTCATGAACTTTCTAAAAAACCCCTCAATTATATCAAAAATGGAACACACTAATAATTATTTTGTTTTTTTTTGTAGAAAAAAAGTAGTTTTTACGAATAAGTTTCTTGAAGGAAGGTAATCGAAATTGTAGATTTAATGAAAAGTGTAAATAAAGGATTTTATTTAATTAAATATAATTTGATAACTGATTCAAAGCATATATTTTCTGTCCAAACTGTACCATCAATTACAACTATTGTAACCAACATTTGAACCAGTTTATCAACAAATTGTTTGTATGGTCCTCTCAGTGCACATAGTACACAGTTAATATAACTTTTTTTAATGAAAAGTATCGAAATTACACAAAAACATCAAGAAATTGTTTTCACGTAAATAAGTGCAAATAAACAAAGTAATATAACCAGAGGGCCGTTGAAATTTGAGGTTAGGTTCTATTTTTTTGACGTGACATCTGTAAATAGCAAACATTCAAAATTTCCGCCAAACTCTATCTACCGACCGTCTCCGCAAAGTGCCGAGCGCTTCCGAGGTTTCCGCGGTTTTTAGTGTCGCCTCAACAACACAGCTCTGATACAGGGTTGCTCGTTTAATATGTAATTATTAGTATAGTATAGTCGACCTACTAAACAATAAACAAAATAGGGGCGGTCGCTCGACCTGCTACAAACCTATAATATACAAGGGAGTCGTTCGACCTACCCACAATAAAATAATTATTTTTTAAAGGGTCGTTTCGACCTACCACAGACAACAAAAAATAATTTTTCGGTGCGATCGTTCGACCTGTTGGACTTATATTAAGGGGTCTGTCGACTTTCCCGTAGGGATATTATATATTTAAAAAAAAAAAATTAAAATTAAAATTTTGGCTTAATTTTTAGATTTTTAAATCGTTTGCAGGGGACGAAAAAGCAAACAGTGTAATAAAAACGACGGCAGAAATACACCGAGTAGACGAATCAGATGGTAAGGATTCAAGAAGATTAAGTTCGACATCAATATTATGTGTAGATCCAACTTAAAACAAAACCAAAAAATTGACCATTCATGAAGATCTCGCTAGACATTGGCAGGAATATTTGAAAGTAGGTCTAGGACATGAACATAGAAAATCTATTATAGAAAAATATTCTATTCTCGAAAGTTGTCCCACTTTAAGCAGTCCCAAACTAAACGAAGAGGTGAGGGAAGTGCTTAACGAAATCGACAAAAAACAAGAAACATTTTTGCAAGCGCTGCAGGAAAATATTGTACTTGGAATAGCTGCTATTGGACTTCCGATTTCTAAATATATTGAAAACCCCAACATCCGAAAGCACATTGGTGGACGTAGGAAAAATTTTCTGCGATGTTCACTATTCAGTTTCTATGCATAGGCGTTATAACATATTGCCAACTTTTAAACCAAACGTTAAGAAATCACTTTAGTCTGCAGAAGTTGGGGAATTCTTATTCGGGAAAAATATGCAGGAAAAAATACAAGCAGTCGAAATCCTAAAACAAACTGGTAAAAATATTAAAATACCAGTATTAAAAAAAAAAAAAAAGGAACCTTACCTAAAACCATCCAATTCAAAAAACTTTCAGACTTTTCATCGGTCCAACCCGTTCAATCCTCCCAATCAGTACAAACAGAAAAAGCAGCAGTACAATCAATATGCGAAGAGAAATCCACCGAAAAAAGCAGAGCAGAAAGTCACTAAAATTTTATCAGAGGAAGAATTAATTATTGTGAGTACTCATGTTGGTAGATTAACATTGTTTTATAAAAATTGGGAGTTAATAACGCAGGATAAAAATATTTTATCTTGGGTCAAATTCCTTTTGATAACATGCCCCTTCACTCAGGATTAACATACTGCCCAGAGAACAATATTAAATGTATTACTTCCATTCAGGAGTTGTTAAATTATGGGGCAATCTCAAAGGTAAAACATGTCAAAGGCAAATTCATATCGTCCTATTTTTTAGGTAAAAACCTAATGGTAAACAAAGATTTATATTAAATCTGAAAAATCTTAATAAACATATCTCAAATAAACATTTCAAATTAGAGGACTACAGATATGTTGCGAAACTAATTACTAAAAACTGTTTTTTTTTTGCAAAAACAGATCTAAAAGATGCCTATTTCGCTATCCCCATACATCAATCATGCAAACATTCCTTAGATTCATATTTAATGATACTGTATTTGAATTTAATGTCCTTCCCTTCGGCCTTAATATAGCCTCATATATTTTTACTAAAATAATGAAACCGGTCATATACAAACTAAGATCAAAAGGACATAGGTCACTAATAAACCTAGACGATATACTTTTGTTAGGCCAAAATTAAATTAAAAAACAAGAAAACAACCAAAAAAATTTAATATTTGGGATTTATATTTAATTCTGAAAATCAAACAATAAGCCTACCTCAAGACAAGAAAGAGAGTATATACAAACACACAATAGTCTTGTTGTAACTATTTGGGATGAAAACATTTAAGAAATTAAAATTAAACTTCCTTACCAGGTAAGTCATTTAATTTTTCAATTTTTCTGCTTATTGTACAGCTATGCATTTATTTCTTTGATTTAATTTCCACTTTGCTACTAAACATTTTTATAATTTACACTGTTGTCGTTTTTTTCTAGTATTTTTACAATTTACAACACAGCAACTCCGGTTACTTATTGTTTTGTTTTTACCTGTTTTTTTGAAAAAAAAAATAAAATGTATACGTGTAGTTGATATGCCAATATTACAAAAAATATCGCCTTAAAATGCACGAATTATCTACAGCTAGCGGTAGTATCGCTTTTGCTTCTCCTACCACGATTTTGAATAAATACTTTCTACAAAAACGTTGTACCAAGTTTTTATACAGAACATATGTTTGAGCGTACTATAAGCTCTTTATTCCGGTTTAGTAAATTTAACTAGTGTTGAAAGTAATGTGGGAATATGTTAACAAAAATTAAAATGGCGATGTACCTAATATAAAATGGTATGGTGTCCGCAATTTGGAGCCCACGAGTAAAGGATTTTCATCTGTTTCTATTGCAACGAAAAGACGCCAGGAGTAAACAGTGGATACACTACAAGGAATGTTTAGGTTGGTGCCATGTCGACTTTTTAGGGGCAGAAAAAATATACTTATTTTTATATACATATTTTGTGAATGAGTAAAAATATGTTTTCCTGATATATCCGATGTAATTTTTCTATGTTGACTACTTTGTTTAACATGTAGCACAAAGTAATAAAATGTTTTGTGAAAGAATCTTACTTTTCTTTAAAGTATATGTTCCATTTTAGGGACATATTTCGTATTAGGTTCAAAAATACAATTTTCTAGGGAATATTTTTTTGTGACTCCTGTTTAATAGATTTAATATTATGAATAATAAATTATGGTTTTCAAAGGTGTAAAGAACCTATACAAAAAAACAAGGGGTGTTAAGAAGACATTCTAAATTTAATATATACAAAAAACCAAACGGTATTTCATATTTGGCTCACTTCCTCTACATTTTTTATGTATACCTATTATAATTTTGTGTCTAAATCTGCAAGATTCTACTTTTCTTCGTTTTTAAATTTTTATCAGCCCTTTCTTCTTTATGCCTATAGTTTAGATCATTACAAGACATCACTAGCGATAAATCTAACGTATATTTGTAGCATATTATTTATGAAATTATCTCTCAGCGATGAAGGAGCCTCCTCGTTTCTGTCCTATTCAAATAAAAAATCAAAAAATTCGTTGGAATCGTCGTATTAATATACTATAAAGAAAAGGCTAACGTACTTCTTGAATCTATAAAGAAGACCCTTCGCACAAAAGGCAGGAAGAAGGAGGTGCAATACTTGAAAACTGAGAAGATTCGTTGACAAGTGAACGTAGGTACCTACAATACCGACGTGTTCCCGAACTTTTTTGTAAAGTAAATTCTTACAATAAGTGGCAGTTATATTGGGATGGGAAAGTTATAAGTTGGTCTTGAAAACAAAAAATTAAAAACGAATTTAATTAATATTAAATAAACATCCTCTTTCTTTTCGTATTTTTATTAGATAAATCTTTTACATAATTCGCTTAAAGTTAACCCTTGAATCTCCCAATAAACAAGATTAATCCGGAAGTGTTTTCCTTGATATAAAACAAAAAAGGATGATCAGCCTTAAAAACCAACTCTGGTGGAGAAATGGGAATCACTGCTAAAGCACGAACCCCTCCAATGACTGAAAAAGATAAATTTGTTATAAAAATTTCTTCTTTTTTTACCAGTACGTAGCGATTATATTGATTTAAAATACAAAATCAAAATAATAAAAAAATAGAAAGATTTCAAAGTCTATGCTGGGCAATTAAGAGCAATTAAGAACAATTAAGAACAATTAAGAACAATTAAGAACAATTAAGAACAATTAAGAACAATTAAGAACAATTAAGAACAATTAAGAACAATTAAGAACAATTAAGAACAATTAAGAACAATTAAGAACAATTAAGAACAATTAAGAACAATTAAGAACAATTAAGAACAATTAAGAACAATTAAGAACAATTAAGAACAATTAAGAACAATTAAGAACAATTAAGAACAATTAAGAACAATTAAGAACAATTAAGAACAATTAAGAACAATTAAGAACAATTAAGAACAATTAAGAACAATTAAGAACAATTAAGAACAATTAAGAACAATTAAGAACAATTAAGAACAATTAAGAACAATTAAGAACAATTAAGAACAATTAAGAACAATTAAGAACAATTAAGAACAATTAAGAACAATTAAGAACAATTAAGAACAATTAAGAACAATTAAGAACAATTAAGAACAATTAAGAACAATTAAGAACAATTAAGAACAATTAAGAACAATTAAGAACAATTAAGAACAATTAAGAACAATTAAGAACAATTAAGAACAATTAAGAACAATTAAGAACAAGAGCTTATTTTTGTTTCGTAACCACATTTGAAAAGCCACAGTATTCATTTATTATAAATTAATTTATTATTGGACGTTAATTAGTTGAAATTCAATACTTTTTTAAGTTATCACAATAGTATTTATTATAAAGCTATTTATTTAGTATTTGCATGAACTGATCTCGCCTTAGTTTTTTGTTTTCTCTTTTGTTTTTATTTGTTTTTTCTTTTTTACCCCTACAGATGCTCCGACTTAATTTAATCAGCTTATCCTATTTGTCTATTTATCCGTTTCTGAGTTATCATGGATACAGACGCAAAAATGGTCAAAACAGATTTAGGGAACCCCAAAATGTTCAGATCCGTAGAAAACTCGAGGTCGAAAAACTCCTATACTTTCCTTATTGGTTACAGGAATATATATATAAAAAATTACCTGCTGTAGCAGCTGCTGCTGTTGTTCCAGCCTCAGAAATCTCAATGAAAGTCTTTTGAATGACATATTTCACATAGAGGCCTGGCTTTCTTGAAATACCTGTCAAATTTGCAGTTGTCTCAAAGAGCTTCTTTACTTCTAACTGCAAAAACCAATCGGCAAAAATCAATATTGTTTGGAAATGTATACATAGAAATGTAAAGTTTTAGTTTTTATATTAAAATGAAATCCTTGAATTGACATTAAATGTCAAATTACCATTAAATTTTTTATAAATTTGTTATTTGTTTAAAAATTTACTCCATTAATAATATTTCTAACTTAAGTAAGGAAAATTTAACTCTTTATAAAACAAAAACAATTGAGTTTGTCTGGTACCAATTATTTCATTTACAAGCTAACACAGGGAGATTAAAACTGAACGCTGAGGTATACCAGAAATTAAAATTTTTATTTTAATTTATTTTTAACCTGCATAATATCTAAAGTGTTTAAACTAAAAAAAAAACTGTACTTTCTATTTGTAATTTGTCTTTAAAATCAACAAAATTGCTAGTTTTAATTTATTCTTAATCTGTATAAATATATTATCAAAAGTGTTTAAAGTAAAAAAGTGTACTTACTTTCTTTAAAATATCTTTAAAATCAACAAGCTTGCTAGTTTTAAAAGTAGGTATCGTTACAGCGACTCTTTCAGTAGTCAAACTCTGAGGTTTCAAATACTCTCCAATATTATCCTCGATAGTTTTCAAACCGTTCCTCTCGTGCGGTAAAACGAACGTCATGCTAATATCGCCGTTTTCGTATTTTAATTCTAAAAACTTAGCTTTCAATTCTTTTGAGTCCAAAAATAGGTAATAATCGTCAGAATTCATCATAAGAATATCTTTGGTTGGATTATTTTCCGCAAAAAAATTATCCATGCGTGTTAATCTTTTTTTAAAAGGGATAATCCATTGTCCTTTGAAATACAAAGCGTTGATCAGGACGAATTTTGTTAAAGCGTCGAGTTGTTTAGGACTTATTAAATTCTGAATGGTACCATTCGTTCTCTTTGACACCCACTGGTTGATGATGTTAGCAGCAACACTACTATTTGAGAAATTTATGTTTTCTATATCACTCTGATAAATGTATCTAGCTATATCGAGAAAATCTGGTAATATATTGTAGCCGTTCGCTATATATAACTTGTTTGATGATCTTAAAGTTAGTTTTTCTGTTGAAACATCGAGTTCTAGGTTTCGTATAGCAGCTTGAGTTGTTGCTTTTCTAGGCAGCTTCAAGGCTTTAGATAGTTCCGATTCTGTAGAACTTTTGGCACCTTCTAGAGTTAACGCCAGACACAGTTGTAAGGAGATAGGGCTGAAGATTATGTTATCTGATTCAGTTTTTATAATTTGCTAAAAAGAAAATAATATATTACAGTAATAATATGCCTGACAAAATGTGGTTAATATTGCCCTTAATATTTTGTTCGGAAAATTGTTTTTGTGATTTTAATTGACATATCTCCAAAACTAAGGCCTTAATTCATACTTGCTTTAGTACTTGTTTGTATATTAATAATTTTAGATTGAAAGTTTTGATTTTCTAATTATCAACAATTGTAATTTGCAATATTTGTCTTTGTTTTTTATTTTAATTCTATTTATATTGTCTTTTGCTTTTAAGAATGGTTACTACTGTTGGGTGGTGTATAAAAAAACAACAAGAGTCTTGTTCATTTAGAATTAAGTACATAAATACTCACTTTGTATAAATCCACAGTAAATTTACTAGTACTGTCTGAAAATTCTAGTACTGCACTGTTTAAACTAAAACTCAAATGAACGCAACTGCACATAATCAAAAAATAAAAATTGAACTCCATTTTTTACGTAAAAATATTTATACATTCAAGTAAAATTATATTACAACATTGAAGACAGAACAATGACTTATATACGTGTTTAAGTGGCTATTTTAAATATAAATAAAAAGGAACTAAAATTATTATAACAAAATCGTTGAACCAAATTTTAAGTATAAATAATGTTATGCTACTTCGTATGAAAAATGTCACTTATCCGCATTTTTATCATGTTTTATGCAAAATTAGTGAAAAAGTAGTGCACTCATTGAGCGTGAATTTACATACTTATCGCGTATGTGTTACATAAAACGAAAACATGCATGTTGGAAGACAGAAAAAAGTAGAATAAGAAGAAAAAGAAGTAGAAGAAGAAATAGAAGAAAAAGAAGAAGAAGACGAAGAAGAAGACGAAAAGGAAGGAGAAAAAGAAGTAGAAGAAGAAAAAGAAGAAGAAGAAGACGAAAAAGAAGACGAAGAAGAATAATCCATAAGAGTTGCGATTAAGTGATTAAGAATTCAGTGTAAAAGAGGTAATAAATGACGTAAGAAGAATGTAGATAATAAGATATAAATTCAATACCAAAGAACTTTCAGAATAAATATCCGAAAGGTAGACACCGAACGTATGCCTTATTGCACGAAAAGAAACGATAATTATCATGCATTCGATGCCATTAAAAGGAGTATTAGCCGTAGACAGACGCTGCTCACAAGGCACTTCTTCTACTATAAGGAAGCCTTGTCGTAAGTCGTTGCACATTTTCCAGCTTATTTTGATCCGAGATTAATGCAGTAGACCGAACAGGACCACAGTACTCCAAGTGAGGATATATGTATCTATTTTTAAGAAATATTGAAGGAGAAACATTGTCATTTGAATAAGAACAGTTGGGAGTTGATTGTTTACTTACTGATAATACAGATCCATCCACGATACTACGAACACGGTCAAACTGATGACCAATTTACCCTTGTCCGCTACTGTCATTCCAAAGCTTTCGCATGTGACATATTTGGAATAACTTTATACATTTCACGACAGAGTTGAGTATTAATGAATATTTTATAAATAAATGAAGATAAAGAACAAACATAACATATTCAGACATGAAAATAGCGAAATTTAATAATGCAACCATCAACCAAAATTTATAATAATAGACAAAATTTTGAACAACTTTAATAGTTGTTGACGTAGCGCAGTGGGTAAGGTATTGTACTTACAGTCTACCTACGCGGATAGAGAGGTAGGTTAGAATCTCGACGCCGCGCCGACGTTTTTTTTTATTTTTTTTTTATTTTATTAATTTTCATTTTCTCTTTTCATTTCTTTTTTTTTTCTCTTTTTTTGAGACCCTCCACAATAGTAAGAACAGCAACAGTTTAAAATTTATAAAAAACAACTTTGATTTTGTTTTCAAATAGAAAAAAATTCAATGCAAACATTAAAAAATAGAGAACAAACATTGAACATTAAAAAAAACAAAACGAACTTTAAAAAATTACATAACTAAGATTAAAAAAAAATACAAAACTAAGATTAAAAAATTACAAAAAAATAAAAATTATAAAATGGAATCCAATAGACAATAATAAATTACAATCAATAATAAAAGAACACGAATTTATTTTTAATGTAATAGGTGCTCAGATAGACCTCCTTCTTGGGCAAGACAGTACCCCAAGCGATCGTAAAATGATCGCCTTACTTCAGCCAGCATATTGGGACTAATAAGTTGAACGGCTTCTGAAATTTTCACTTTCAGCTCATCTAAGTCGTTAGCTATTTCTTCCCTGAATTTGTATATCTGAGACTTTAAATAACCCCACAAAAAAATCACAAGGTGCGAGATCCGGCGATCTAGCTGGCCACAGAATTGTACCTTTCCCTGATAATAATCTGTTGGGAAATGTTTCATTTAAAAAGTGCTGCACCGTCACACGATTATGCACAGAACATCCGTCCTGTTGAAACCAAATATTGTTAAATCGAGCTCCTGCCAATCGCCGTATCTCAGGGATAATATGGTGTCTGAGTAAATCCAAATATTTAACACTATTTAAATTACCCTCAATATAAAAAGAACCGATTACATTTTCACCTAGTATTCCCATCCAAACATTCAACTTTTGCGGGAACTGCGTGCGAACTGTTACAAATTTATGTAAATTTTCTCGAGACCAATATCGGACTTGGGATGGATTATGCCTGGTAAGTAATGGAAAAGTCAACTCATCGGTGAACACAACATTGTAAAGAAAATTGTTATCCTTGTTAACTTTATCCATTACTGCCTCGCTAAATTCCATTCATCTGATATTGTCAGTTTCATAAATTTCTTGGCATTTTCTTACTTTATAAGATCGATATCCATGTTTTTTTAAAATTCTATTTACTGTGGCTTCACTGGAACTTACAACTTCCGCAACCTCTCTGAGATATCATCGGATTTTCTTCCACAGTTGCACAAATCATAATATCCCTATCTTCTTGCTCATTCTGATTATTATTAACTCGAGCCTTTTTATGTTCATTGGGAGAAACGCAGCCATGAATTTCAAAATTTTGAACAATACGATGTACTGTTGAGAGTGATGGTATGGGCCTATTTTGAAATGTCGCCTTAAACAAACCGCTTATTTGTCGAATTGTGTTGCCTTGAATATGCCATTTCACAATTTGTACTTTCTCAGCAATTTCGTAAACATTCATTTTAAATCTAAAGAAATACTTTTCGCCCGCGATAAAAGCACAAAATTTGAATGTGACAGTTGCGGACAAGCGTCAACTGGTCATCATGTTTACCATGTTCCTAGTACGATGGATGAATCGGTATATGTTCTGACAAGTCTACTAATGATGACTTTGAAATAATTTTGGGAAGATACAGTTATTGCAAATTCACTTAAGGTCAGCTACTATTAGCTAGACTTTATTAAAGATAGTGTCTGTCCTTAATTGTGGATGTCTAAGGGCCGCAGATATTCGTATCAGTTCGAAATTTTTTAACAATAAACCTTTAATATCATCGTCATCTAAACCTTCTAAAATGATAATTTATAATGCCTCTTCCATATTATGTACAATTATAAACAACAAAAAAGATGAACTGTAAATTAAAATTTTTAAAAGTCTAATTTTAGCATGAAATTTATTTGCCTCTAATTACGTTGTCACTATTAGAGGCTGACGTTATAGAAATTTGCAATATCTCTCTATTGTATGCCAATTTATAAATTATTTTTAGTGATGTGAAGAACTAACTACACATTTATCAATAATCAGTCTGAACTACACTTTGATATTCATGCATATCGATCGTATACAGAAAAAATGGGGAACCAAGGACTGATCCTTGAGACACTTCAATAACAACGTTATTAACCTGAGAAACAGATTTTTTATGAGTTAATAACCTGCAGGACTTTGATGAGCTGAGAAGATGGCTGTGTCTAGATACCTCTTAGCGTCAACCAGCAGGTTTTTGACGAGTTGATAGCCTACAGGACTTTAGTGAACTGGCAAAATGATTGTCTCTAGACACTCCTCAGCGACAACCAGCAATTTTTAACACATGCCCCTGGAGGATGCACAATTAGCCTTATGGGGTCAAAGATCTATGAAACAACTCACCCTTCTCCAACTTACAGATATAGATGTAACAATCAAACTGCCTCTTAGATTGCCAGAACTAGCATCTCCGGATTTTTAAGTCTTTGAATTTCTGATAGCACATATATTTTATATAGCCACAAAATTTGATGAATTAATAAAGAAAATTATATAACCATTTTAAACATTAAGCTCAGACATTTTGACTTTACAATAGATTTAGAAACGTTTGGTACAGATACACCCAATTTATTAGATTGTAATAAAAAGTTCTAAAAAAACACGTTAATATTTATTATTTCTTTGTGTAAATGGGCATTGCTTATTAATTTCAAAGATCAGAAGGCATTAGGCAAAAATAAACGTTACAACCATCACAATATCAGTTATGACCACGATGTAAATAATATGTAAAGAAAGCAACAGTTTATCAATTTATTTTTGGTTATCCTCTTTACGTTTGACTGTGTAATTCGGGGAAATTTATTTTTCAGTAATAAATATTTATGAATATCTTTTCCATTTTAATCATATAAATTTAACAGTGTGGAAGCTCATTTTTAATCAGAATTTGGATTTGGATTAAAGTTGTTATTCTCTTACTACTATTCCTTTATTACTATTTTAAAGATTGACATTTTTTAGTTACTTATGTATTTTTCTTAATCTATTACATTTTTAATTGTTTCTGGATGCTGCACTAACAAAATGTATCCTCGATACTTGTCTTCTGTCTTCTGCATCAAAGATAAATCTAGTGTAGTTAAATTGTTCTTGGGAAGATTCAGAGGTTAAATATTGCTTTGTAAATATATTTTTCATGAATTTATTACTATTTATAATTAACTAAAACCTTTTGACTTTAATTTTTAAAATAATATAAATAATAAACGAGTTAAGTTATTTAGAATGTTCTTATTCATGTAAAATTTAAATTAGAATAACAACTCTTTTTTTAGAATTGAGTAGGTAAACTTTAATTGGCGCAGTCATTAGGATAATGTGCCTATTCTTGCTTCTCTTCTTTTTTACAGGTTTTCCTCCCAAGAAACTATAAAAACACCAAAATACCTGCTACCCTGTAAACACCTCAAGAATAAATTTTAATCTTTTACGTTTATTTAATATGCCGGGGAAATTTCTTTTCCAGTCATAAATATGTATCCAATCTCTAATAAAATGTAAAATATTCAAGATTTTTTTATAAATTTAACACCGAAGGTTTATTTAAATCAGTTTTTGGAATAAAGAAGTATCTTACTAATATTCTCCTTCGTCAAAAATGAATTGGTCCGCGTTATTTTTTGGCGCTTTCTTAATTTTGGAATGCAAATCACAAGTCGCAGAACTTATTAATCAAGGCAGCGAGGAATCGGGTGTAGCATTATATCAGGTAAGTTATTTTTATAAATATAATACTTATATAAATTAGTGAAAAGTACGTGTTTGTTTGTTTTTCTCCAAGTAAATGCCAAATTAAGTTAAATAAACTTAGCTTACCAGAAAATAAAGTTTTTTCTTTCAATTAAATAGTTTTGATCGTTGTCTGTATTTATATAGACAATAGTTACTAC